ATGTTCTACAATTTAATTATTGCATAGAAAATAAAGTGGCACAAAATGCCCTCAAGAATTTTGCTGGAATGCTGGGAGAAACATTCGAGCAATACAAAAGTAAGTATATTTAACTTTTCTTCTTTTTTTTAACATGTATTTGACCTATACTTTTTTATCGATTATAACGAATTATTTTCATAAATTAATTAACGGTCAGTTACATTTTGTTTCTGTTTATTTACTGTTTCGTTATATATGAAAATATATAAGAAATCTGTAGTGAATTGTTTATTTTGAATCATGAATTATTCTTATATACTTCCAGAATTATGGATGGAGTATTTAAAATTGCGAAACTATTGTGAAGGTGCAAATGTAAAACTTCCATTTCAGTTGTTTGAACCGGAAAGTGTCAATGATATGTAAGTTTTTATCTTTGTTATTTAAAAATTGTTAAATGTATTTATATATTTGTAACATAACATAATTTCATTAATTTCATATTTTAGTATGACACAGTCACAAGCCTCTAAAAATTGTAAAGAAGTCCCTACCATGCTTATAAGTCAAACGTCTGAAAATCCAAAAGTATCTTCATCTGTATATGAAAGTATACCAACTGTATATAGTTCGGATAACACATTGAATCCAAATGAAACTGTTTTAAGTGATGATAGGTTTATTCAAAAGGAAATAGATAAAAATAAGTTATTGCATAGTCCAGTCCTTATAAGAGAACGTGTTAAGCTTAAAAAAAGTGCTGTTACACCTGGTCATTCCATTTTAGATGATTCTGAGGAAAGCAATGCATTTGTACCAGTAAAAGAAAATATTACAATTTTGTTAAATAGTTCTCAAGAAGATACTTCTGAAGCACTTGTGGAATTTAAAGAGAACGAGTGTTCATATGTTGAGAAAAATGATGATGAAGTAGAATGTACACCATTATGTAAATTACCAAAAAAGTTGGGGATCAGTAAACTATACAATGTTGATACCACATTTCTGCAAAGTGGCAAAAAACTAAAACAATCAAGGCTTGTATTTTTTCCAACTGAACCGGATAAAGAAAATATAGATCATAAAAAACAGGTAAAGTTAACTCCATTAAAACTATGTACATCGCCTGCATCTGAAAGAAACACAGAACAAAATACAAGAGATTTTGGTTCCATTAAACCACTAGATGAAGAAATAATTGAAGATAGTCCCACTAAACGTAAAGAATCGAGATTGAAAATAAAGAATTTGAAGTTAAAGAAAAAAAGTCCCACAAGACTCCTAGAAAAAAGTAATAAAAAAGGTAGTGATATGGTTAGTAAGTTTAATAATAATAAAACTGATGCTGCAAAATTGTTTTTATCAAATGTACATACATCTACGCAAAACAGTGAGTCTTGTTCAATAAAAAGATTAGAAACATTTAATACACCAGATAGTGAAAATGTTGGGAGTGGAAGTGGTCCTTCATCTTCTCCTTTATCTTTAATATTCATTAATAATGATCACTTGAACAAATTGTCCAGTAAAATATCAGAAGAAGAGATTGAGAATGTAGATATTATTGGAAAAGGAAATCAGTTACAGAAAAGAAAATTATCAAAATTACTTAATGAATCAAGTAATTACAATTCTTCAGAATGTGATGACGAAACATTTTGTCTATTAGGTGAAAGACTTATAGAAAAATCTACTACTAGTATAGGTAACATAAAAGGTAGTAAATATGACCTTTCTGAAAGTATATCAGATAATTCTCCACCTGCGAAAAAGAGTCTTATGCATAGTTTTGATATGTAAGTGTTTCTTGTATTCATATAAATTTTCATAAAATAATAGTATACAATTTAAATATGTATAAATCTTTATTAATAAAAGTAATTAACACAGTTATTTTCTACAGGGTACCTGAGAAAGAAGATGTCTTTATTGAGAAGACAAAAAATAAAGCAGAAAGAGCAAAGATGTCTGGTATTTCTTGTTGGGAATGTAAGAAGGTAACAATTATCTTTAGTTTTTATTAGAAAAATAATATATGATTATTGCAAATAATGCTGAAAGTAATCATTTTTCTGTTAATATTGCATTGAAGCATTGAACAGTAAGTTAATGCGATTTTGTAACTTTTATTTATTGTAATTGTGTAAATTATACTTAAGAACATTGAATTTATATTTTTAAGTTTAAATTTTAGTATTATGCAAATCTTGGCCTCTCAGAGAAAGAAATAAAAGCAAGACAGAACCAGTGCTCTCGACACAGAATTAAACATAAAGAAAAACAAAGTACACCTGATGGTAATATCATTAAGTTTTGTTAATGTCGTTAAATATAGTGTGCTTTCATAAATATTAATTTCTTTCAGGGTTTTGGGATCCTTTGTTTCCCGATACATTTTCATCCTCTTTTGAAGGTGACTTCTAAATTACCACACCATAAATAATTTAAAGTATATACAGTATTTTTATATTTTTACTTCATAATTGTTAATATTATTCTATACTACATAAAGTGTATTAAATGTTATAGATCTATGGAAGGTTATTTATAGATGTGTAAGATGTACATATAAAGAAATATAAACTTGAAGGAATGAATACACTTGTTATGCTTTAAATTGATTTGAACATAGAATGATTTATTATATTATAACACATATAGTATTACATATTGAGTAACATAGTATAGATTTATATAACTATATTATTTCGTTTTATATAGACTTATCCCTTTGCATAAAAATATAGAATCTGTTATATGAATCTGTGCTAAAAAAGGCTAATGAAAACTTATTTCGTTTTTGGTCAAGCAAACTTTCACATTATGTTCACAGTGTATCGAGTTAATTCGAAGTTCATCAAAAATATATAAATACGTATACAAAATAAGAAACATTTCGAAGTAAAAAAGACATTGATAATTATTATTGTAAATTTCCCTGTACTCAATGTTTCGAATACGTAATTGTTAAAATTGGAAGCAACATTGGAAATGATTTTTTTTATTGTAGCCGAGTACTTTTTTTTTTCATTGAATACAATATTTATCACTCAAATGAAACCGTTACTATTTTATGAATCTTTGTTACATGAGAAAGGAGAATAATGAGATAACATAAAACATGAAGAAGAAAATATTAATTGACAGTAATCGTACTGCACAATGCGAAGGAAGGAACCTTCTACGTAGCCTGTCCATCCTACGGGAGGCTGGAGTTACAGGATTAACAGGACTACAATTTTAAAGCAAGTATAGCGTTATCATTTACAACCCATCATATCGACACGACAATTCGTGCAAACACATATGCTTATATTTTGTTTTAAATACCACTTAAATATTATCATCACGACGTAATCATTAAACATTTCATTCGATGAATCTGTTCAACACTTCCATATGATATTTGGAACATTAATGTTATTTTATGTGGTCGTACATTTATTCATATTTTACACTCATAAAATATTCTTATAATTTTTGACATGATAAGCGCTTAATTATAAACTTCCGTGAATATTGTGCAGCTCGATCGTTCTTTCCCGTATGCATAGAAAAAAGATTGAAGTGTTTCGTAAAACCTTCTACATATGTAATGTTTGTTTTTCTTTACATATAACGGTATTATAACGGTAAATATTAGAATATTTAACAATAGTATAAAAATTTTGACTTCAATCTCTAAAACTTTGATCTCAGTATTCGCTTTTTTTAACATAAAAATTGTAGATCAATATTTTTAACAAAGTTGTTAAGACCCGTATAAAGAATGAAGCTTTTCAAGAAACAAAATACCGAACTTTAAAAAGACGCTCAATGTAAAACATTCAACTTAATAAATGTGAACTTTCACGCCCTGTATGCTGGATAGAATTGACTCAGCAGATAGAACTAGATATGTTAATTGTTTTGCAATATATTTTAATACTCTGTTTAAAGCTACTGTAAAGCACGTTAGTGAAGTTATCTATAAGAGGAAGCAACACAACTTTAATTTCACTTAAACAGTACTCTCATTGAAATTTCATTGAAAAAAAATAAAAGAAACTATCTAAAGACTGAGCTACATAATGTATGATAAGCGTTCATTTTCGTAAGAAAGTTATTTCAGAATTTGTTTTAGAACTTGATTACACGAATTTTACAAGCATACATAGTACAAATGATTCCATTATTAGCCAATATTTAGAATTCCAACAGCTGCATAGCTCAGTCTTTCGAATCCATATGCTTGTACCTAAGTATTCAAGTAGGCCGTAGTAAAATGAGACTCATAATAAATTTTACAGATTGACACTGCTCTCTGAAATATTCGTTTGACAATATGGTTTGTACACATTATTTTCATCGCCTTCTGTGATCAGCAAAACTTTTCAATTAAATGTATAATTACTAACACTTAATAATTTAAAAAAAAAATCTTTCTCGGGAACTTATCGTCAGATCAGTGTGGTTCTGCAAAATGTCAGGAGCATCTTTAAGAAGTATCTTACAGAAATGAAAGATTAACAGTGATTCTAGACTTGTAGATGATTGACTAGAAACATTTGGCCATTTTCTTTCTTTGATATAGACTGTAATTAATACTTTGCCTTTGCTCGCCGGAACTGCAATTGTGGAATCGGGTTCAAATCTCACTGGCTCTCTTTTGTAGAAGAGTTGTTTCCTGTAAGAGATTTCTCTGCAGGAAGTGCCGGTAAAGCCTTTAGAATAGCATGTACTTCTTCTGCCACCGCCATGAGCACAAACTTAAACTGTGGTTTCGTTGCAACCATGTCGGCCCTTTGATCTCTAATATGTTCTAGGGTAGCTGCAATATCAATTTCTTTGGCTCCTTTCATCATGCGGTTTAAAACCATATCGATCAAACAGTATGTACCAGTACGACCAACACCATCACTGTGAATAAACAGTTTATAATATAAATATCTTTTTATGTATAGTTTTTTCTTTAATATCAATTTCGTTTTAATATCTCTGTAGATGAATTCTATATAATGCAATGCATTTAAAGTACTGAAAATACTACTTAATGAGGTCACTTACCTGCAGTGTACAATTATGGGACATGATCTGCCTTTGTACGATTTGTTGATTTTTCTATAATGTACATAATAGTATTAATGACATCTATTGTTACATTTTCTACATTTTAAATACTTACCGACGAAATTCCAGAAGAGCCTTAGTAGAGTATGGGACGCCATTTTCAGGCCAGGACAAGAAATGGAACTGGGTTACGGTTCTAGTCTCGCCGGTGCGTAAATTCTTTAAATAGAAAGAGCGCACCAAGTAATCATCGCACCAGAAATGCTCGGATACAAGGTGTACTTCATATATGTGATACAGTTCAGATCCTTCCTCGGGCCAATAGCGATGACACATAGCAACACCTTCTTCGGTTAGCCTAGTTAACATTACTATCACCACACTGCCTTGTTCCCAAATTAATTGCCAAAAGTCGGCTGTTGTATGGGGCAGAGGACCTTGGGTGGCAATGTAAGCTGGGTTTCGTGGATCATGATCCGTCTGGAAATGTAATGACACTTACATTCAAATGGTTATTTTTTAATATTATTAATTATTGGAAAGCAAGTCACACGGTTCATATGAAAGCACATTCGCCAACTTGGAAACTCTTGTGCACTGCCTGGGAATCTTTTCATTATGCGGGTAGTCTAATATTTGCATAGTGAATTAAAACTCTTCTGTATTGAGAAACTCTTTTGTAGTGCATACAATAGTGCCATGTTTCATATATACGTTAAATTGTCTTGAATAAAATGTAGATTTAAATTCACGAGTGTCCTTAGTGTACCGAAATTGTTGTCGAATTGTATAATAGACATTCATTAATATACCAGGAAACTTGTCTTGACAAACACTGTACACCTAGTAAATTTAAATCTATATTTTTTGTTATACATTTTCTGTGAGTACACATTGATTTTTGCCTTTCATACTAAAGTGGTCTATTGATAGACCAGCAAGAATCATCAAAGCGTTGTGCACCTTAATCGTCATGCCTAAGTTTATTACCAATGTTGCAGCAATGCAGAAAAATCTACCAAAAGCGTTTTCAAGGGAAGCATTGCCGCATCATCAAACTACATGCTTCTCGCGTGACTTACCGATTTCTATTTTCAGTTCCGTTATAGTAAACATGACGTATAAAATATTATATGTACTGTATTCCAAGTTAGTGTCTTTTGAAGAAGTTCTAAACAAAGAATAAGAAGGATACTTACAATGGTGGAAGCGTTTATATAGTCAGAGTTATTGGCGTTAGCAAGATCATTTAATATCACCCTGGAGTGATCATAAGGCAGGGGCGCGCCGGGACGATTGCGGTTAGCATTTGCCTCGCTTTCAGCGACTTCAGTCGAGCAAGGATCAGCTTCGTACGCGCATAACGCTGTCCATTCTTGATCTAAACGGTCTTTATTTTTTAGATGGTCTTCCATGTAACTCTGGAAAGGTACATTAAATAAAAGCCGTTCTTTTTTTACTGTTACTTTCTTAGGAACACTAGCAACCGGAATTTACTACTAGTTTCTGTTAGCATGAGTATCAGCTTACAAGAACCATCTGTCCAGTTGATATATCCATATTAGAAGGTGCTGGTTCGTCACCCCATGAAGATGTACTTGAGCGATTCGATGGTACATTATTTGATTCGCTCTCACGACTCAAGTTAGTTATACGAGGTGACTCCGGTTTTTCGGATGGTTGCTTAGCCTGCATCCGTGCTCTACACAAATCCTGATAGTCCTTTGATGCTTCTGGATCAGGAGTAGCTAATCCTGCTAACTTAGCACGAGATTTAGCATGCCGACGTGCAATTAGCAGTGTTACTATTGCGGCCGCACCGGCAGCTGCAACTCCTGCAGCCACTAGGGCACCAAAGACATTTGAGTTCATTCCAGGTACCTGGGATACTTCTAATGTCGCAGGGAGTTTGGTCTGCAAACAAAACATGTTTATTATTTCTAGCGAAATGGATGGCTCAGTTAGAGGATCATATTGTCGGAGGATTAATTAATTTAAATTATAATTCTCCAGCAATGCCTTAGATTCTTATGTTTTAAATATTTTTTCAAGATGAACCTTGTCACCTATGCCTGCACGTATCACCTCAACACCCAGAGTGTCTTTTAACTTGCCGCGTATATCATCTGCAAGTAAAATGTAATTTACTCAATTCTTCGGAATTTATTCCGTTAGTTTATAGAGAAATTACCTATTTTGTTAGCGACATCTGTAGCATTGTAATTTTTATTGTTCTTCACTACCCTGAATGTGACTTCTGCGCGACCGACTCGAATATCTTTTAAAGTTCCCGGTGTCAATTCCAACAGTTTGCCTACCTATAAATTAATCAATTGTGTCACCTGTATTTTCATGTAAATGGTATTTACAAAGTTGAAAAATACGAGTAGTACCTCCTTGACAACGTGTTCGCCTTCTGACCATCTATGAAAGGGTTGTTGGACTTCTACGTATACGTGATCTAGATCAACATTATGATAAGATTTTGAAGAACCTTCCAAGTGTTCAGTCCCCACTTCTTTTTTCACAAAGGGTGCAAGCAATACATCATTCTAGAATAATGAATACATAGATTCTTATCCGTTCTGTCACCTTAAATAATTACTTACATTTTCTTCCGCTTCGCTCGAGTCAAAGTCACTTTCTTTCTCCTCATCTGTAAGTACGTACAAAGTTAAATTTAAGAATTACCTGTAGGTTTTCTTAATGAATTTGAACTTCATGCGAACTTAAATATTTTTACGATTTGTAAGATTCGAATACTATTGAGAATATTTACTTGAGGGCGACTGATTTTTAAGTGCATAATTATTCGTCGAGAAGGGTGGTCCTGGTTTCTTCACGTCCAAACGTTCTCGCCTTTTGAAGCCGGCTAACTCCCGCCTTAAAAGGAACTCCTTGAAATCGTTGTTCAACAGATTATCATAAGCGTTTTCTACAAAACAATTTAAAGTCAACCCTAAATATTATATTCATCAAATTATTCAAAATTTTACCATTTGTATCTGAATCCGATTTATCATTTGCAGTTTGGATAGGGCCACCCTCTGTGTACACAGCATTATCCAATGAAGCGGTGTCTTTCTGAGGTAACTCAATCTCTTCGTTAATATCATCATAATCGTCGCTGTTATAGTCATTGTTTTTTGAGTTACGTTTCACATTTTCCAGGAAGAATTCATCATTATTCGAAAACCGTGAAAATTTCCTGGGATGCTTATATTTTCTAGAGAACGTTTTCTCATACATAACGTCCGCATCGTTTTTCGCTTGCTTCTTATTGAAGTAGTCGTCAGGAGATTTGTCGTTTATCAAAAATTCTAGTTCTGCGACGGGTAAAGTGTCCACGGTGCTCGGATCCGGTTGTTCATCGAATTTTGGCTTCACCTCTCTGTCCAAAGCATATTTTATTGATTCGATCGCGTTTTCATTGTAATCTCGTAAATTGTACGGTTGCCGCCTGGTCCGGTACAATCTTTCGTTGATCCCATCGTAGACCAAAGGTTTGTTGCCGATCGTGTCTTGACGATCATCGTAATTTTCCTCGTTATTTGGGGTCTCGTATTTCTTGTAAGGATTCGAAGCGTATCTTGGCTCGTAAAAGCGAGGGAATTCTCTATTTTCTTCTTTGTACGATGATCTCGGAAATTCGTCATTGTAGGACGTTCCTGTAATATACTCTTCCCGTGTTCCAGGGGGATAGTATATCTCATTTGCGTACTGGGTTACGGTATTACCGTTATTGGGCGTGAATTTTACTATGGCTATTGTGGGTACCTTATAAAGAAAATTTAGTTGTTATCGTTGCTGTCGATATTACTGTCTTTTTAATTAAAAATTATGGGTAACTCACTCTGGTCTGATCGAGCATATCATCATCCTCGAAACGCATGCGTTGCTTCAGATGTTGACACAGTCGAAGATCATAATTTTCTCTGAAATACGTAATCCGTATATGTAAGTATATTAATGTTGTTATCGTTATTCTGACGTATTAGGATTTTATCGTACCCGTGACGCAAGTTATACAAAGATGTTTGCATGATGCATTGCGTGTAGGGATGCGACCATTTGTAACCGTCGATTTGAAGCCTCTCCAGCTGTAGCCTTAGCAGTTCCAGTTCGTCGATATTGAAGTCATACCTGTTTCAAAATAAGGATGAACAGTACTAATGGTGAAGCAGCCGGTGTGAGTAGATCTATTTCAGAATGGAGTACGTATAAAGTGACGTCTTTCTAGCGAAGAAATTTTATATTTTTCTTTGAACGTAAAAGCCACAGTGGTAAGACCGCTTTATGGTCAGGCCGTAAAACTAACCGAGTGCTAGCCGTAAGGAATAACGTTTATTATGAACTTTTTTGAACTGACGCGCGTGAGGTTGTGCATTTCGCGTTCATCGCGTGAGCGAGATTAAGAATAATTATGAGATTACAATAATTTCAGTTAAGTAGCGAACTTCACGAGAAATAAGAGAAAGTTCAATAAGTCCATTTGAAATTCAATGAAATCCTTGAGAAATATTTGAAGAAGTTATAATTTCTGTTGAAGTCAATAAAATAAATAAAATAAAATTATATTAATTTCTTTTCGTACATTATAAACCATATTAATCAATTTTTCTAAAACCATTATTTCAGAAGAGGAATACCTACTGGTAATAGTCCTCCTCGCTCAAGTCAGTGTACAACGATAAACATTTTCCGAATGCCAAATCTGAAACAAGAAGGAAAGAAAAGGGAGGAAAATCAATTACGGTTCTTCCATTTTCAAGAGCTTGCGTTAATTAGAAAGCAAATGAACACGTCACCATTGTAACAAGTTTCCGTCCGGGGGTTGCAGAGGCTTTTGTTGAATAGGCACCCTGAAACATATTTCTTGTATTAAATAAATGGGCTCATCGAATATCACCGACCGAGGTAATTCGAAATTCTTTGGATCGTTGAGAGTCTATTATCGACCCACCGGACGCAATAAATAATTCTGAACCCCTTTAATAAGAGAATATTGGAATTTTCTGGGATCCCGGCACGCGCTTAATCAAGGCGAACTATAAATCAATCCTTGCGCTGTCCTATTCGATTGGATAGGAAATAATTCTGATCAGGACGTCTGGTCGTTTCTTTTATTCTTAACGGATTGACGCAAACTCTTGCGTCATAATCATCCGGCCAGGTACGATGCACAACGCTTGCCGCGCGGCTCTGCGATACATCTTGCTAATTAGAGTGGTTCGTGTTCGCTACCTTTATTTCGCAGCGATGTTTCATCTTTGCCAAGGAGTTTAACAATAAAAAGAAATCCTGGAAAAGGAAAATTTTAAACCCGCTGGTCCCCGATTTATATAGACATTTAAAATATTATTAAAAAATCAGAGATACGCATACTAACAACGTCCTTTTTAGTATATAAAAAATGAGAACGCGCTTGTCTGATGAAACTCTGACAATACTACTGGAAGCATATCGCATGCTGTATCATGCAATATAATTCAAGGAATACTAACATGTATTAAGAATATTTTTTTATTGCATTATACGTTCTGCTAGAACAATACTTTTGTTGCTCTTAATAGTTTAATAATTTTATTTTTAATTTACATAATAATTTTTAAAACTAGTCTGGAAGAGATTTTTGGTTTTATATTGAACGTTATCTTGATATTTATATTTCACAGAACTGCACAAATCAGTTTGCTAGGAAATGAACTTGTAATTTCCTTTTCTGATAAAATCTCATTACCCTTGAGATACTTAATAGGCGGAGACGGTGTTCTATTTCCTTAATCTCCGTTACAGAATTGAACATTTCTGAAAATGTCATGCGAACTTGGTGTGACATTTTTATATTTAAACGAAATGCAACTATTAGACTCCTTTTCTTTTTCAAGTTTGCTGCCTTCATTCATGTTATAATTCACAATTTTTCCCATACATTCCACAGATATATCCGCTTTCTTATCCTTCTAAATTTTTGAGATTTTTACACTTGGAAAGGTACAATGTCACACCAAATCGACCTCAAAGGATTGTATTTCGACAAAGAGCAAGACTCCGACGCTTTATAAAGTAATATTCGAGAGAGGAGCGAATAAAGGAAATCACTAAGAGAATATTTCTCCTCTTCTTCCATGACCTTTATCGTTTTTCATCTTCAAAAGTTTGCTATTTGTAACAAATAGAATTTTTAAGATACATAAGTTTACACACGTGCACAATTGGAAAAAATACCTTCTCTAACGAAAAGTGATTCTGTTGTAGAACACAGCTGTTAAGTGACACAGTTATTTCTATTATTAATAACGGTCGAAGGTGGTGGTTTATCATCGTTAACTATGAATGAGCATGTATAATGCATCATGACGTTCTAATACGATCCTACAGTATATTCATGATTTACAGACGATTTTAAGAGTCGCGGGAGTGCTGGAACGTGAAAGCTTGGATTGAAGGAAAGTGGGATTGAGGGGAGAATCGACGACAGGGGAGCTTCGAAAAGGTAAACCGGGTAGGTGTATACAGGGATCCAGGCCAGAACGGGAGAAACCCGGGTTTGCAAAGGCGGTGGCGGTCGCGTGGGATGCACAGCTCGATGAAACCCGTGGGTGGCGATCAAACGAATTGTGTGCTGCCTCGTTTTCCTCCGAGGACCCACAAATTTTGAGTGCCGCTGGGACAACGAAGAACACGATTCTGATTTTCACTTTAACCCCTTCAGGCCAGGTGCACATTATAATATACACTGTTTTACTACTTCAATGCCTGAAAGAAATATCAAAACTCTGATAGGCAACTATATGTACACCTCTGCTTAGAGTCTATTTCTATCAGAAAAGTACTATACTACCACTATTTTATGCGAAATAATGTAATTACCGATGATGCGTTGAATGGCGGTCCATTGTTGTTAGATATGTGAAGATAATTTTGTACAAAAATCAGGTTTGAAGGGGTTAACACTAGAACTACCGAGCGTTTAATACGATTAATGTGCAATTCTTATAAAAATCGTAACAATAGATTTTCTTTGATTTCTTTGTATGTTCATTACAATACAAGTTTAAAATCGTTTCGGATATTCAATATTTCCTAGATATTAATGCTTGCGTGATAAGAAAACTGTAACCCACTGTTTTGACGGGTGCGGTAGTTCTAGTGTTAAGACGTTTGAAATCTAAGATCTCGGATACTTCAACATGGAATTTTTATTAATAAGATACAAGAATTTAGATGGAGAGATTGTTTGACACTAGAACTACCAAATGGGTCGAAGCGACTTATTTTGAATTTCTTCTTTCACAATTATTGGACAGATGATTTTCTTAGAAGTTACTAAGTAAATTGTCTCATAAGCAAACTGAAATCTCAATAAATGTATTTTTATAACATTTACAGGAAGATGCAAGATAGTTAGTTTTATTGCTAGGTAGTTTTAGTGTTAACGTAGAATCATAAATAAATAAATAGAGATCATTGAAAAGTAATAGGATTTTCGAATTTTTAGATTGTTAATTTCCACGACGGAGGAAAGCGTATCTGGAAAATCCTGAATAACGAAGACAAGATCGGTGAAACGGAAAAGCGTTTTTGTATTGCGTGCGTTGGGAAACAATAGACTGAGTGTAAATCGAAAGCAACTATTAAATTTTGAATGAGAGGTTTCAGTGGAAAAAAACGGATATCGGCGCGGCAATTGTTCTTCGAAGAGCGTTCACGGTAGTAATCTTTTTCATCTTCGAACATGGAACACGCACACACATACATACATAGCTGTACAAAAGGTGTGCTGCGATTCATCAATTTCATTTATAGCAGATGCGTCCGAACGAAGTACGATAAAATAGAAAGATTAATGGAGCTTAACGCGGAATCCGCTTTACTTCTTTTGCTCATTTATTAAATATAACTCTCGGTCTCCGTACGGAAAGACATTAAATACAAGGAAACTTATCAAAGCGTAAAATTCATTTATCAAAATGATCATGAATATCCGGGATCTAATTCTATTAACTCTTTACATTTGAGAATATTTTTCTCAACAAATATGCACCATTCTCTGATGAAATATCAATGATATTTTTTTGCAACTAATGTAAAGAAATATACTGCATAAATTAAGGGACATAACTATTTCATTTCGATGTTCCATACGTTGACACATTACACTTAATACGTTGTACTAAATATTGAATTTCATATTATACAATTTTGATGAATCAAATCGAATGGCTACTGAAAGACGCCTCCGAAGGGTCAACTCTATTCCTCAAGTTATCTACGTATTTGAAGTACGATGAAAAAACAAATATTGACACATAGTCTGGTAACAGTTTTCTCGTACCATTTTCAAATCTGAAATGTTCTTAACTAAATGACAGCATGAAAACATTAAACGAACGAAGTAGTGCTAGAAAAACTGAAAATATAATTGGATCGGAAAAGAAATTTGCTATTACTTTCTTTGTTTAAGTAAAAGAACTTTTCATATTTTGCGACCAACTTTGTTTTTTACTTAGATCAAGAATTATTATATGCTAACTTATTATGTATTGGGGAAAGTTCGAAGCTCGCACAGGGTTTCCATTTTAATCGCTTCTCCTGTGTAACAAGGCAAAACATAGAACCTTTTAAATTATCAGGGATCAGATAAATATTGTATGTACGCCTCAGTTAATTGCGTTAGATCGATCCTCTTCGAGAAAACTCTCCAGAACCGGCGGAGTTTACCTTTTACCGTGCCTCCTGCCCCTTTTTCGGATGTGTTAATCGATAATTACGTGTCTCACGCACGTCGGATCGGCGAACTCGCGACTAATTCACGACAGTTTCCCGCGAAACGACGGAAACGCACCCGCTTACTTTTATAGTTATCCTCCGCGGACCGGGAAATGGTAAAGTTCAGAACGCCCACGCTACATCGAAGTCGAACATGCTATCCATTTTTAACTGGGAATTCTTTTAATGGCCACTCTATGGAAAGAGCTTCTTTTGATTCGCTTAAAAATATCGTTCCGCGAAGAACATTGCTCGGAGTTGAACTTTATGAAACGAGATTAATCGAATCGAAGTTCTCTGTTCTAAAGCTTTCAACTGCAAATTCTTTAACTGGATTTTTATTGATTCGCACGAGTGGTTTTTGCGTGGAATGGTAAAAATGATGTACAATGATATACATAAAAGATAAAACGGTAAAAATGAGAAATAAAAAAGAAATAGCTACGAAATCGGTGCAATTTTTATCGAAGTCTCTTAAATAGGAGTTTTTGCAATGATCATGGCAATGGTATTTACCAATTCCCCGGCGATATCGATCATTCTGTTCCTGATGCGTTATTTTCGGGGTGTTCAGTCGTTCCGCGAGAACTCCGATCAGCGGAAACGTTTTTTCACCGTCTGTTGATTAAGGAGGAGCACGTATTGACCGGAAAAAGGGAGCTTCACGAAGGAAACGCTCACAGATAGAGCACATCTCCATAAAACGGATCCTAGAGGCATGGAATCAACGACGAATGGGGAGGAATTTCATTTATCCGGTTCCCGTTGCCTACTCACCCGAATACTGACTGACCTTTGCAACGGGCATTTCATATCTTGCATTACAATCGTACTGCAGAACGGTTTTTGAGTTTTTGCCTACAAATTCTTCAGGATAAAAATACTTGAACAATATAGGTACCATTGCTTGCTCTCCAACTAACATTATTATATTCAATAATATAATTTTAATAATTGTGCCAGGAATGAGGTATATTAGGCTTTAAAAAGTTCTGCTTTGTTTATGAAAATAAATAATATTTCTGCTGCAAATGTATCTTTACTTTGGTTACTCAGAAATGAAATAAATATATTTCTTTTCAGTCTATGCATGTTCGCTGTTCGATAGGGAAACAACCGTAAGATCTTTCGTCGCTTTACTGCTGATTCAGGGAACGTTCGAGGATCCGTAAAACGATTCCGAGGGTGCTTCTCGATCCGAACGGAGAGGTTCTTTATTCCCGTTAGTGGTATAATAGCGAATCGTACTCACCGACATCACCATCGCCCAGAATAACGTGATGGAGGATAAAGAGCACCAGCAGCTCCGAGCCCCCTCGCCACCACCGTTTACGGCCCATAGATGTTCCTAGAAGTGTGCATCTAATTTACGTTTCACGTCGATAAGCAAAAAAGATAATGCCAATCTACCCCTCGGTCTGCTAACTCCCTGTTTCACTGCGAATTTCGGAGCGCGGAGGAGTAAAAGTCGTAACGTAAATTTCACGCGACAGTGTCGCGTTTAAACTTGTAATTAGACTGTGGATGCTTCCGCAAATTTTTTAGTTTATTGTTAATAATTCTGTAATGTATGTAATAATTCTTCGTTTGTAAATTTAATGAGTACTTGCGTGCACTTATCAAGAATTCAGTCGGGTCGCGAATGAGATAAGTCTAGATGAAAGTATATCAAAATTGTTTCGCTGACTAACGTATATTTCACTATTTGAAAGTTGAAACATTGCTAACTAAAGCGATGTCGAATATTGTTTCTTTCGTTCAAACGGACTGAGATAACTTGTTGAATATAGTCGGCCAAAGTATCCAATCAAGTAACTTTGGGGACTAAAAGTAGTTCGCTACTACAAAAGTCTCAATATGTTCCTCAAATAATCTAGTGACATCGGAAATCTATAACGTTCTATTATTCCGCTGTTCTTAAATCAGTGGTTCAACTCAAGAAAGAAATATTCTCGTCAGCCCCCTTTAAAAGTCCAACTATTCCCATAAAACTGTTTTCCAATTAAAAGTTCACAAGCTGTCTCAAGTATTCCGCTTGACGTTTTATCAAGATCCCGAGACTGTCCGATGCAAATCGGTATGCACGAGTATCCACAATCTGTTTCCGACATCCCCTCTTTCTATTGAGCACCGTGCAACAATGATTAAATCAGCTCAGTGCGCAAAATTCTCAGGCACACGGTGGAGGAACGAGGCCCAGCGATATACCCGGATTGACTAATATAGTAATTCAATTAACTTCGCAGGTGGAGTGTAAGGAACAAAAGCGGTGCTCCAAAGGGCGCGGTGCGGCGTTGGCGCGGAATTCCACGTAACAATACAGTCAGTCATGATTTACATAAGCCAGATATATTCACGGATATTCCAGGAACACGCGACTTCATGGAAAATTACTGTGACAATCTAAGATCTGATTCCGCTTTCATCAGCCTGTCTACTGAAACATTTCTACCTTGAACAGATCTACCATCTACAGCGGAAAAGTACTGCTTCATTATTTTTGTCTGTTTTCCCCTTCTCGTCTTCTGCGATCAGTTTCACGGAACCTGACTTCTTGGCAATGGATATATGAAGTTTACTGAGATACTTAATAATTGCGTTTGTAACAAATCGCGGTAATTCCGGGAAGAAACGCATGGGACGGTTAGTTGTACAGTCCCGAAGCATCAGGTTGTAGTCACGTTACCCGTCTCTCTCGGTCACCCACCACCCACCCCTCTCTTTATCGCTAAACCTGCGTGACGGTTTCGCAGCGCCGCTGAATGACGCGGACCTTCTCGAGGCGTACCTTGGGCGTGACAGGTCGCGATCCCCGTTGATCTTAATACATGTCTTGGCCCCGGCGTAGCCCGATTCGGGAGAGCGGCAGCGATGCGTCTCTTCGTCAGGGTTGTTTACCGTTCGCCACGTATGTTAACACCTTAGACCATTTCCCTGCGTGCACGTCCTGTTGTGCCGCAGCAGTGCCACTGACTGAATACACTTCCAGCGGCGAACGAGGCGGAGAGCATGCGTTGACTTCGGGCGGAATCGATTGCAACGCGCACATGCCGGGTGCCAGGCGACGAGGGACGTGGATAGTGATGGGACCAATACCCTCGTGATATCAGGACCTTGAAAACGGCTGTTTTGAACGGCGCCGATAGAAATAGAATTTAGACAAGTCGCTTTCAGTGTAGGTTTGACATTCGGTGCCAGTACGGTTGAGATTAAATCTTGACGAATGAAATAGATTTTCTTTAGTAATTGAAGTATAAAACGATATACTTTTTACCGGTGACAGTAATTTGAATGAGGATTGAGACAAGGAACGGCGTTGCAACGAGGTATTATGGCATTCGGGAAAGAAAATTAATTTTTGGCATAAGGTTTATCTTTGCGGATGCAATACCAATTCAGCAGAGCTGAAGAGGAAAGTTTCGAGATAGAGGCTAAAGCTACTCTTGGTATCTACTATTCGAAATCATATTTTATCTAGAACTGGCGGTAGTCTTCAAATATGGATTATAATTACTACCAAAGGCTGCAGTTCCAGTATGGTAATGCAGACGCTCTATTTTATGATATGTAATTATAGTCTCCCTGGAGTATAAGGATAACATGGTACAGTAATCAATTGTCATTATTGAGTCAAATATAGTTCTCATTAATTTCGAAAGAAGCGATAAAATGATTGTTAATATTTATGTAGAATTCATCGATGAGGATATGCTTCATCGAAGAGAGTTTTTGAACAGTCAAACACTAAAATTCGTGGTATCAAAGTACACCGGTATAGGATCGATCCCATCACTGAAGCGGATTTGTGAAAGAGACGGAGAGGGAAAGGAATAATACCGATTAGAATAATAGAGAAATACCCGGAGCCGCCTGCTCCCGCCCTCGCGATCAACAGGCCGGTATTATTGCTGTACATTTGTCTCGAGGACATTTAAGAAGTTCCATGTCTGAGTTCCGATTTCTGATGATATTTTTAAGATAAACGGCTATTTATGTCGGGTGGTTCGTATGGCAGCAAGCGCCTGCGCGTTCTTCTTCACATCCTCGCGTCGGTGCGTCTCCTGCGTTAAGCACCTGTTGTTCGTGAACTACGCTTTCCTTTTGAAAGGATCACGGTGCCTGTTACATAATCTGATAATGCTTGAAACTTGAACAGGAATGCGCTAATTAAAATCATACTGATTCGTCGTCAACGCTATTTCGGATTTATTGTTTAACAGTTGCAAGGATGCAAATTGTATTCAGAAATTTATTATTTTAATGTTTATATGTTATACAGTATTATATAGTGTATGCATGTAGTAAATTATGTATATAATTATTGCATTGACATTATGTTCTTTCAAGTAATTAATTGTAGTTTAATATTAGTAATCTATTCCAGAATGCAATGACTATGCGAGCTTCATGCAACTATGCAAAGACGTTGTACTGTTTAGTGGAGACACGTTTCCCTATTTGTAAAGAACAGGAGTGGTTTCTCATAATTTTGTTGAAGTATCGATTAGGAACACTTGTTGCGGGAACAGTATCCGAAGAAGTATTGTCATACTGCCTTCCCCTTCCCTTCAACTGTAGCAAACAGACGGCAGTAGTATAGTCAGTAATGGGTCAGACGATTACATGATTCCTACAGACGGTGTTCTTTCGTTAATGGTTTTCAGAACTTTAATTTTTATAGAAATCCGTTATAATATTTTATGGTAAACTAAACTAAACGGATTACATGCACATTGTTCTAATTATTTACAATGCAATGGTCATTTTATATATACATACTTATGAAATCAGGTTGAAACATACTTTATTAAATCGATAATTGACAGACTCTTAATGCATAATAATCTAATTACTTAAGTTTATTAATAATCGTGTATCTTAATAATAATTTAGAATATCTCTACTGGTAACTTAGACTTAAGCTTAAGTCTGTGCTAACAGTTTCCGAGTTCTATTGAAGATGGCGCTGACTTTGCGGGAAGATTAACAAATTTTGAACCCTAAAAAACAGCTTTTCATGTTATCGCAGTTTCTATTTTTATTTCATTTCTTCTTCACTTGATTTATGCTTATTCTATTCTTTCCTCTTTATTCCATTTCATTGCTGCCTCCTCTATTTCATTTCATGTCTACCTCTTTTATATCTCTTTTGTATTTAATTTTTCAGCTTCCATAATTTCACACTAAAGAAAAGCGAGAAATTATGGAGGCAAACCTGAAATGGTTGTAGTCCGACTGTTGCTGTCACTATCTCCAATCTGAACTTCAAGAATTTTCTGCAACTGCATAATTAATCAATATAATTATTTATATAAATTTTATAGCTATAATTTATATAATAAATGTATCTATAAAAATATTTACGTTCGTGAATCAATAAAAACTGGGCGCTGTAAACAGAATTGAGAAAGTTGGTGGAGTGTCTAGTAGAAGGAAAAATTCCTATGGAATTGAAGCGTTCTGCAAAGACTTGCAGAATTTTAGATTCACCCACAAAAGGGAAGATCGCTCTAGACGGGATATTTTTGTGAAATTACACCAGTATTAATTTCCATTATCTCATAAATTACCATTATTTGCCTTTATATTCTGTGAGACATCCTGAAAACAGTTGCAATGTGTACGAGCCCATTGCGGAGTTAAAGACAATGACATTGGTCAGCATGCTATGGTCAATGGTTCAAATTTATGCAAATTTTCTTAACGGAAAACCATACTAGAAATACTACTTGATATCAGGAAACATGTCACAGCGTGACACTCGGTGACACTTACCTTTGTTTTGCTTTCAGTTTATCAAAACGAGGCTAAAATTTATAGTACACTAGGAAAGGAATATGATTTCTCCTTGACCCCCAACCCTGATATCCGATTGAGTGATTTCCAGTGTGAAGTGGCAAACTGTACTACCATCGTTTAAATGCACGCGCCTTATTCATTTGTTGTAGACTACATAATCATATACCACACTCGTAGCAGAAATGAAATATGTAAATTCGATTCCTACTAACAAGCCTAAGGTCTTAGATTGTCGATAACATCGGGCGTGACACTAAAATGGTATGGTGATCCTGAGGACCCCTGAAGCCCTCGACAGAAATTCTCATAATATATTTACAACGTCTGTACGTATCTTAAGTCTGTGCAATTGACCTATACTTAGAATAAATTATCTTTAAAGTTCAATTTTCATTATCATTTTGATATCAATCGCAACTTTATAAGCGGAATGGTAGAATAGATTACATTCTTGTTTGTGCTATATAAAACTATAACTTTCGGTTTTCTATATTTCTGTTTACAGGTATTCGTTGATAAATTTTTTTACAGTGATGGTTAACAAATGTTAAATACACTGAATGTTATAATATTAGAATTTTGATGGTAGTGAGAGTTTCATTTTGGTTGGTGGTGTTCCTTAATACGGTTTAAGAACCCTAATCTTAATAGAGGGTTTGAACAATTATTTTGATCAGCAATGTAATATTATTTAAATAAGTAGATAAATTTACACAAAATTCAATCATAATATTAAAAAAACTGCGTTGTGGCAACAGGTGCAGTCTAAATATCTATTCTACACTTTATCAGCGCTACAGGTGAACGTAGTTCAAACTTGAACTTTTAAGAGTTTGTTGAGCCTTCACTAAATACATTCATGCCGGAGAGTATGGCTGTCAAACAAAAGTTACATTGACAGGTCTAACATGCTCGGGTATTTTATATAATCGTACATATGCGAGGTTAGTGTATTGAGTCATTATATGTAAATAGTATTAAAGTTTATTTGTTTTCTGACAAAGTAATGTGTTGCTTATAATATTACTGGGTGTGGCAAAATGTATTCTGAAAAGATTTTATTTACACAATCAAGATGCTAAATTATGTGTTTTATAGAAACTTTTAAACATCTTAATGATATTTCTGTTAACGGCCTCAAAAAGTTTGTTATTTAAAGTAAGCTTAACGTACAATAATTATACAGCTTTGAGGTTAAGTGACTTAAACGAAAGTGTATAGTATTTACATTATATGTTTAGTTTGTGCTGCCAAAAAATGGCGTCGTTTCAATGTTTGACAGTTTGCAGTATCTTGTTTTTAAGGAGTATTCTATGTTTGTAGATGTAGCAATTAGAATTGTGTACAATTGTGTTGTTCCATTATAAGCAAGTAAATAAGGAACTACTGGAACTGCAACTATGGAGAAAAGAGGTAGCGCAGAACTTCTGAGCGTGGAACAAAACAATTCTAAAAATGCTAGCTCAGATTCTCTTAACTCGGACAGCAAGAGCAGCTCACTCAATTCCAAAATGGGACAAGAATCGGTAACAAAAAGTGATTTAATCAAACTAGGTTTCTTACTAACATACCCATGCATATATCTAATTGTATGCAAGCATTTAACTTCTTTAGGAAAGCTGGGAAAAAGCATCTCATTCCAAAAGTTTTTCCTCAAGCTCTACTTCAACAGATAACAATATTGTTTCTGCTTTAGAGGCTAGAAAAGAGAATCAAGTAAAAGTGAGTTATTCTCGAATGAGTAGAGTCAATGTAGTTTTCATTTTATTTCAATTGTGATCTATTGCCAGATTTTAATTTATCAGATAGTATTCATAGCTTTTCTTTTGTTCTTTTCATATGTTTTATCCTTTTTTGGATAATTCTATTTTTTCACTTTTACTTTATAGACAATTATATAATCTAAATGTAGTTAACTAAAGTAATAGGTGAATATTCATATATCTGTGAATAGTTTTTAAAATTGAATCATTGGAAATAAGCATGTATACCTTTCGTTTCAGAACCTGTCCAGTGGAGAATCAGGTCCATCACTTTTGAATGGAGAAAGGATGCAGGGTATTGCCCATGATGTAACTTATCTGTGCCCCTATTCAGGACCAGCTAGGGGAATTCTTAGTGTTACAAATTACAAGCTTCATTTTCGAAGTGTTGACCGCGAAACACCATATGTTATTGAAGTGCCTCTGGGTGTTGTGAGCAGAATTGAGAAAGTTGGTGGAGCGTCTAGTAGAAGGGAAAATTCCTATGGAATTGAAGCATTCTGCAAAGACTTGCGGAATCTTAGATTTGCCCACAAACAAGAAAATCACTCTAGGCGGGATGTTTTTGAGAAGCTGCAACAGTATTCATTTCCATTATCTCATAAATTACCATTATTTGCCTTTGAATACTCTGAAACGTTTCCTGAGAATGGTTGGAATGTGTACGAGCCCATTGCGGAGTTAAAGAGAATGGTATTGACTGTTCATCATTAAATGAATATTTAGAGATTCACTCGCGAATATTAGTGGCTAATCAAAACTGTAATTATTTCTAGGGGGTAAATAATGATATGTGGAAAATATCAAAGATCAACGATACATATTCTGTATGCGATAGTTACCCAGCAGTATGGGCAGTGCCCGCGGCGGCTACCGACGAAGATTTACAAGCATCCGCAGCTTTTAGGAGCAAGGGAAGACTTCCGGTACTTTCGTGGATTCATCCGGAGAGTCAAGCAACGATTACTCGTTGTGCCCAACCGTTAGTAGGTGTTGGTGGTAAACGGAGCCGCGAAGATGAAAGATACGTTCAATTGATCATGGATGCTAACGCGCAAAGTCACAAACTATTTATTATGGACGCCCGGCCAATGCCAAACGCAGTGGCAAATAAAGTGAAGGGTGGTGGTTACGAGAACGAAGACGCTTACCAGAACGCTGAGCTAGTGTTCTTAGACATTCCTAATATACACGTGATGAGGGAAAGTCTTCGGAAAGTGAAAGGTATATAGTTCATTGTGGACCGGTTTTTTTGATTGTGTTCTAAATTATGGTTCGGTATAGACAGTGCAAAATTTTTAAACCATGTGAACTTTAATGAACCACATATTACTCAGCTAAAATACGTGTAACAACGATGTCTACTATCGATATTAATTATATTTCAGAATTATGCTTTCCAAAGATCGACGAACCAAGGTGGTTATCGGGAATAGATTCCACCGTCTGGTTGAAACATATTAAGTACGTGCTCGCAGGAGCGTTAAAAATTGTGGATAAAGTGGAGAATCATAAGACATCGGTATTGGTGCACTGTTCAGACGGTTGGGACAGAACAGCACAGGTAGTTACGACACACATTGAATACATTTCACGGGCGTAAAAAAATGTACATTTTAATGTTTGTAAAAATGTTTGCAGCTCACAGCTCTTGCCATGTTAATGTTAGATCCGTATTACAGAACGATCAAAGGTTTTGAGGTTCTCATTGAAAAGGAATGGCTCAGTTTCGGCCACAAATTCCAGCAGGTGTGAAATGAAATGAACAATCAGTTGGTTTAACAAATATTTATTTCAACTCGGAATATATTCTAATCACAAGGACATTCTTGTCTCCAGAGAATTGGACACGGCGACGAACATCACAGTGACGCGGATAGGTCTCCGGTATTTTTGCAGTTCATAAACTGCGTGTGGCAGATCAGTTGTCAATTCCCCAACGCATTTGAGTTCAACGAACACTTTCTTATTACTATTCTAGATCACCTGTACTCGTGCAGATTTGGCACATTTTTATATAACAGGTAGGTCCGCATATTGCTTACACATTATAAATCGTATACACGGCTATCGATACCAGTCCTGATCGTTGTCTTAATTTCTACAGTGAACGCGAAAGGGTACAGGCACAAGTCAAACAGAAAACTGTATCTCTGTGGTCGTACACCAACAGTCAATTATCCCTTTATCAGAATCCCCTGTACTGGGCAGCACCAAACTGTCAGCTCGTATTGATGCCGGTCGCTAGCATGAGGTATATAAAGCCATGGAAAAGTCTCTACTGCAGATGGAATCCCAGTATGCGCCGGCAGGTTTGTAAAACTATAAAGAATCTTCGTTTATTTACAACGTGCGATTGTGCCAAATTTTGTTCTAGGATCTAGAAGTCTTCTCTAAATTTTTCGTTACACCGGTGTCTCTTTTCCTCTTTTCAGGATCCCGTTTATCAACGAATAAGAGAACTTATAGTCTTGAACGAGCAACTCGAGAAACAACTCGAAGAGTGTCGACGCGAACAAGCTTCCCGAGCTAATCGGTCCTTAACGTCGCCGGCACCGCCCAGGATACATTCCCCGGTACACTCATAGCCCGACTACGATTTTTCGCCCGTCCTCTAACGATCTGTAGTTACTGTAAAATGTGCCTCTCCGTGCGTCCTCCTCTTGTCGGGGACAGCAGGCACCATTGACTAAAAAGAAACTCGCAATCGCTATGTACAAATGCATCGTTGATTAAAAAAAAAAAGAAAAGGAAAAGT